CTTCCAGAGTCATAGCTGTGTTGGCCTGAAGAAGTCACTAGTGTTAGCATTATGTATCTGATTGGAACTGCAATCTGCTTAGATATTGTCATCTCCCTCTTGGGGACTGTTGGGACTTGGCAAAAAACACAACCCACAACTTGTAAAAAAAAAAAAAAAAAAGGAACTGAAAGCTGAAGGTTGAGTTTGTAAATGGCTCCCCTTCCCCTTGCATGTGTGAAAATTTTTCTGCCCAGCAGGCCCCAGTCAGGTGGGCTCACAATGCCTGTCAGTATGGGTTCTCCCTCTGCCTGTCCCAGGAGAACAGGGTGAGTACACAGGAAGTTTGATCCAGCTCCCCTAGAAGTCCTGTGGCAGCTGCTGTGAGATTTGTGGGCAACGGTGTCAAACACCACATGGTTTTCTACTAGAGTGCCTATACACATGCTTTTGGGGGAGGGGTGTTCCCAAAGAGCCACTCTAATTAAAACGCCTCAGCATCATTTGTATTAAGCCCCCTCACATTTAAAAATGGCCGTGGGACACTTTAACTAAAGCTTATTTGACAAGCTTCAGTTGAAGCACCCCGGTGACCTATTTTAAACCCACAGGGTTTAATGCTAGAGTGTTATACTTAGAACATGAAACAGACTCAATTAATCTAATTGAGCGTGTTGGAGCATGTGTATAGGTTAGCAGCCATTTAAGCACTGTGGGGTCTGTTAGGCTGCTTGTTGGCTGACTGCTCTCTCCATTGCCTGGTCAGCGGCAGGCCAGCAAGTACAGCACAGAGGACGAGGCAGAGGACGACATGGCAGCTATTCTGGAGAGTATCTTCCTGAAACGTTCGCAGCAGAAGAAGAAAACGTCTCCTCTCAACTTCAAGAAGCGCCTCTTCCTCCTGACAGAAAGCAGGCTCTCCTACTATGAGTACGACTTCGAGCGTGGAGTGAGTTGGTGGCTCAGAATATAGCTGGGGGCTTGACAAATGGGGCTGAGGGAGGCTCTGCTTAAGGGTAAGCTCCTTTTGGGGGTCTGCTGCTTAGCTAAAGGACACTGAAACACACCTGGCTATGGTAACATAGTATGACTGGCAGCATTGGCAATGCTTTTTGCAGGAGGTGCACCGCCAAGCTCAGGGGGTGCACATGCACCCGCATGCACCCCCTACACATTGCCAATGCTCACCACAGTTCCAAGTGCAGGGAAGACGGGTCTTTGTCACCCTGCCATCAAATACCCTCTGTGCCCTAATGTCAGCTGGAGCTGGGCATCAGTATTTAGAAGCAGTGTCTGTGCTAAACTGTGCCCATGAAGACTAATATCCCTCTGCTTCCCTCCATCCCATTCTCCCCCTTTCTCTCCGTTTCCTGCCCTGTTCCCTTCTGTAGCGGCGAGGCAGTAAGAAGGGGTCAGTGGACATTGAGAAAATCACCTGTGTGGAGACGGTGGCTCCAGAGAACAACCCACCCCCAGAGCGGCAGATCCCGGTGAGGAAGAGGCTGGCAGTACCCCCCATCACATCCCCAGAGCATTCTTCCAGGCCCATTGTCCTTGTCAGACAGCCCCATTCCCCCTTCACTGCTGACTTTGGCAGGCCCAAGCAAATTAAATGAGACTCCTGGCCCAGTTCTTCAGGGAGAGTGGATGGATTCCTACTCCAGTGGCCCATAACTTAAGAAACTTTCTTCAGGAGAAGTGCTCCAAATGCTGTTGGGGATTCTGGCCACATGGATCACACTCCTGAGGGAGTGCCAGGGTTACATTTTCCTGTGCTTTAATCCTCTAAAGACTGAAGGACTCAGTCTGGTAGTGTAACACAGATCCCCAAGGAATTAGGAAGTGTCTCTGCCCCAGACCCTGGGGGCACAGGCAGCAGTTTCCTGATCCAATTTCAGAGAGCATGAGAGATCCGTTTCCCCTTGGCCATGGGCACTTGGGAGTTGTCATTGGCATCCAAGCCCATCCCCAAGGCCATCACTCCATCATGAACCTCAGTGTGGTAGAGGCTGGGAAATTTGCTGTCTGGTGCTACCTTCCCACCTGATATGCCAGAGGCAGGGGAAGGTCCCACCTCCCCAGAAGAGGAGGCATCTGTATTAGAAAGCACCAATATATAGAACCCCAGAGGTGGCAGCCCAGTTCATTATCCAGAGCCCCTGTGTAGCTCCAACAAAGCACCTTGAACTGCTGACTCCTGGGCTACTGCTAGTGCTAGGGAGAGTTGCAGTAGCCAAGTTCCAGGACAGAAACCCACATTTCTCCTTTCTTTTACAGAGAAAGGGAGAAGATTCCAATGAGATGGAGCAGATCTCAATCATAGAGAGGTTCCCTTATCCCTTCCAGGTGAGTTTCCTTCACCCCTAGCTCCTGCTGTGCCTGGCTCACTTTGCAGGAAAGAAGACAATGAGGATAGTCAGTTTGCTATCCTGGGATCACACCACCAAAGGTTGTCATGCTTGGGTCCACTGATTGGACATGCATGGTGGTGTGATGTTCCTCCTTTCCCAGTGCTTGGGTAGGACAGGGGATGACACAGGCCAGGTGCCTGAGGCTCCATCCAGATGAGATGAGGATGATGCCCAGAGAGTACAGAGTACTGTTGAAAGGCTCACAGTCTGGAGTACTGTTGGTTCCATTGTGACTGTTTCCTACATGGATCAGCACTGAACCAGGTTTCAGCAGTGTCCAGTGCAACTCACTGTCACTATTGCGCACAGAACTGTCCTGCAAGAACCACTGGAAACAATCACCAGGGCAGAACATAGCTGCCTGAGTGGTAGCAGTAGCTGCTGGGAGTCTGTGACACTGATGCAGTGGTAGCTTCCTGCTTGCCTCTAGGTGCAGGTCACACTTGGACACTGACCTGTGAAGTTTTTTAAGGCTCATCCAAGCAAGACCATCTCACTTCCTGCAGGCAGCTGTTCTGTTCTCACTCCCACCCCTGAGGCTGGAAGAGTAGATGGCTGATGGGAGCACATCCAACAGGGGCTGGCACTGGACCCATCTCATCACAGGCTGTTGCCTAGCATGAGCCCCAGTGAGAAGCAATGGGAAGCTGTTTATGCTCCCACCAGGCAGGATCCTGTCATGTTTATGGGGAGGAGGTAGAAATATTTCTATGTTAAATACTTTCTGATTACAATATGCAAGAGAAAACCTACCCTTGTGGTGCTGTCAGCATGAACCCCATAGTTAAAGCATCAGTCAGGGATCTGGCTTCAGGTCTGGGCTTGGCTTCTTGCTCCAACACTGACTGGCTCTGTGACCTTGGGTAAGTCACACAGCAGCTCCCTTCACCACCTATAAGAAAGCAAGCAACCAAGAAAGAGAGAAAAGATAAGCAGCTCTTGCTCTGACACATTGGTTAAGGCTGCCTATGTGTTTCCATTCTGCAGGGTTGCAGACACTGTAATGTTCTCAAAACTTTTGGGCTGTCTGCAATCTCTGAGCCAGAGCCCAACCATGTAAGTCCAAATCTGAGCTCCCCTCAGGTTCAAAGCCAAAGTTCTGGTTGTGCCCTTATGGGCTGAGGGGACAGCAGCAATGTCTGAATCTCGAACCTCCTCCAAAGCATGGGATGCTCAGATCTGGGGGTGAGCTGCAGACCCACCTTTGCTATTTGGCTATCTGGCCATCTACCTGCACACATTGTTATCCTGTTGCTAGTTCTAGACACCTGACATTTTGATCTTCATAAGCCTGATCTCTGTCTGAACTTCCCCATCCACTGCCACCTTAGCCCACCTCTGATCCAGTCATAAACTGGAACTGAGCACTTTGGGCTCCCTACCTACTCTGCTTGCCTGGGCCCCACGTGGTGAACAAATCAGCCCCCAAACTATTGAAAGTCAGAGAAGGAAGTGGAAAGTCTCAGGGGAGGGGGCTTATTTATAACCTCTTAGTCACAGTCTCATAAGCACAGTAAAGGGGCTGGAACAAAGTTAAAAGAGTTATGCTCTGCAATCAGAAGTTAAAGGTGTCCATCAGTCCCCACCTATCTCCCATACAGAAATCCCATGCCCTACTGTAGAGAGCTTCAGTCTATCTGTCCCTCAGGTGGTGTATGATGAAGGACCCCTCTATATATTCTCACCAACAGAGGAGTTACGCAAGCGCTGGATCCACCAGCTGAAGAGTGGTGAGTCTCTGATTTTTGAAGTTAACCCTTTTTAAAGCTCAACTGGAACAAGGCAGGAGTCATAATTAAAACCAAGTCCTCTTTGCAACAACTGGAGCAATGACATCAACTTTGGGCTAAAATAATTTGATTAGAGCTGGAAACATATTGCCATGACTCAGTGTAGAAGGGCTGCAGCTCTTACGGCTTGTTTAAATCTGATGGATCTGTTGGGGTGTGTGTCTCAGTGTGCTTGTGTGTATATATATCTGTGGCTTCATATGCATGTGGAGAGATTAGCTAGTTGAATTGACACAGGGAAGTCTCCTTATGCAGGCAGGAAGGATGGCAACCTGATAACGGGGAAGTCAGTTGTTGCATGACAACCCCTATCTTCTTAAAGAAGACATTCAAGCAACTTTGTCTTTGTCTTCACTGCTAGAAGAGCTATGTCTATACAGCAGATTTACTGACCTCACTAGCTGCCTCCCTTTGAAATACTTAAAGGAGGCAAAGCACAGTGTTTTTACCTTAAGTAAATGAGACAGGGTCAACCACAGGAAACAGTGTGGTACTGACCTGGCCTACCCACTTCATGGTGGGCACCTCTGGTGTTTTCCCATCTTAAATCTCCTGAGATTTTATGGCAAGAGAAATATTTCCTCAGTATAAAATAATCTCACCTTCTTGACAGTGAAGACCAAGCCAAGGCTTGGGGCTCAGGTGATGCTACTCTGTGTTCACACTGTGCTTGCCCTTTATCCTAAGCCTGTTCCCTCATGGAGCCAGCATGAAGCGCTGCAGTGGCTGTAACTTCAGTTCACCGCCATGTCTAATCCTTTCCTCAGCAGCCTCCAGCTGAGTTTAGTCCAAAATAAGGCAACTCTGGTTGCTTATCAAGTGCCACACACTGTTCTGTTGTTCAGCAACATATGTATCCTGATTCCATCCAACTGAGGAAATGTCCCTGCACATTATTGGGAGCTCCATGTGATATTTTCCTGTGACACTAACACATCTGTGGTGACAGCAGTACACCTTAAATCTAGTAATAATAGAAAGTGGCTTGGTATCTCTCTGGGGTTCCTGGCTGGACAGATCAAGAAGAAATGTGGTTGGTAAGCAGGACACTCAGGGGCCCCAGGGATGAATACAAGATAGCTCATGTTGCTGAGAGTCAAGACAGGAGTGTAGATTGAAGAACTCAGGGGGACTACTGAGAATCCCTTCTTAGTGATCCCAAAGCACAAGTGATAAGTATGGGGTGGGGGGAGCTCTCACCCCTTGGATTGGTGACAGTTCCCATGGGACAAATAGTCTCTCTCTTTCCTGCTGCAGTGATCTGCTACAACAGCGACCTGGTACAAAAGTACCACCCCTGCTTCTGGATTGATGGACAATACCTGTGCTGCTCTCAGACGGCCAAGAATGCCATGGGCTGCCAGGTCCTGGAGAGCAGGAACGGAAGTAAGAAACCAAGTGATACCTTGTCTTTGTTCCATTTCTCTGCATGTTGACTCCCCCTTCCATCTCTGGAATGCAGGCTCCAGCTCATCTTCCCAGCATCTCATCACTCATCAGTGTCTCATGCCAATAACATTTTTCAACTTTTTCTGTTTCATACTTTAAAGGTTTAAAAACTGGACGGTCTCATCGCAAGACAAAGAAGCCTCTTCCTCCAACGCCCGAGGAGGATCAGGTATGCAGAGAGCAGCTGGGACTTGCCTTTGGGCCAGGATGGCCTTTCCTCTTTAATGGCTGTGAGGCACTCAGGGCCAGCTTACCCTATTCCAAAATATTTAAGAACAGGTAGTCCAGGGAAGGAGCAACAGATTTGCCCACCTACTGAGCATTAGTGAGGGTTGCTCTTATCTCAGACCCAGGAGAGACCTGCAGGGACACTGTCCTTTCACAGGACCCCGAAGCTCATTGGCCAAAGAAGGTAAGTTGTGGAGAGCCTATCCCAAGGAGGGAATGAGTTTGAACCAAGGGACTTCCTTCGCTTCCTGTCACCTCAGCAATAACAATGGACAGAGTGAAGTCCTACCTCTCGTTCCATTTCTATAGTCTAGAGAATTTACCAAGTGTCCTACCACTGCTAGCCTTGGATCTATGACACCTGGGATCCCCAGGGATCTCCCATTCAGGGACTAGCCAGGCCCAATCTCAGGCCCATATCTGGAAGGTCTTTCCAGAGAAATCCAGAGGCCAGAGTGGGGCTGACAGACCTTCTTTGTTCAGTGGGAGCTAGGATTTGGGACAAAGCTGGAGCCTGAAGTCCTGAGATAAGGGTAAATGGAAAGAGAAGGAAGGGGCTGTGCCTAGAAGAGCCACAGGGGATCAGTATTTATTCCGTGAGAAGTCTGAGGGAGAAAACATCTTTTAAAAGCTTCTGGGACCATGTAAGTACAATGAAGAAACAGGGAGGTAGAAACTGAAGCAAGAGGGATACTGTACCACATCATGAATTGGCCTGGCTTGAGAATGCACCTGGCCACAGAACTCTGTAACCTACTCAGCTTCAGAGGGTGATGCTCAGGGTCTCACTGTTTGATGCTTTTCCCCCTGGAAGATGATGATGAAGCCACTACCCCCTGAGCCAGCTCCCAGCATGCCAGGTGAAATGAAGAAGGTTGTGGCACTTTATGACTATGTGCCAATGAACGCACAGGACTTGCAGCTGCAGAAGGGGGAAGAGTACTTCATTCTGGAAAAGAGCGATATACCGTGGTGGAGAGCCCGGGACAGGAATGGGTAAGAACTCTGGCCTGGATTGTGGCTGAGAGCCCCAGGCCAGCCAGAGTCTGCATACATGAGCAGAGTCCCAGAGCACAGGTACTCAAGCACACCCTTGGACACAACTGTATTTCCCACACATGGATGCACTCCTGTGTGAATGTACCTCTCTCAGATGCCAGAGAACCAATGGGGAACTGTGTCCTCTCCCAACATTCCACTTACTGGGAACTTAATTGAAGCAGCTTTTAAACCCAGCTGACAAGGGCCAGTGCTGGAATTGGGGCTCTCAGGACACAATGGCTCTGGGCTACTCCTGGGAAGGATCAGCAGATTTGACAGCCTACTGAGCATTAGCGATACTGTCTCTCACCCTGTTCTCATTAAGAAACTGGGAGACTGTGGTGTCGACACCCACAGTCAATTGGGTTGCCAACTGGCTGAAGGGCCGCACCCAGAAAGCGGTGGTGGATGGGTCATTTTCGACCTGGAGGGATGTGGGCAGTGGGGTCCCCCAGGGCTTGGTCCTTGGGCCCGCACTGTCCAACATCTTCATCAGTGACTTGGATGAGGGGGTAAAAAGCACCCTGTTCAAATTTGCTGATGACACTAAGATGTGGGGGGATGTGGGCACGCTAGAAGGGAAGAATAGGCTGCAATCGGACCTAGACAGGTTACAGGGGTGTGTGGATGAGAATAGGATGGGTTTCAACACTGACAAGTGCAAGGTGATGCACCTGGGGAGGAAGAACCAGC